TTACTGTGAGCCAGGCATTTCGGAAAAAACCAAAATGAAGAATTATGAGCTGAAATTCTATATATAGATAGATTTAAGAGTCATTATATAGTCCTGAAAGTTTCAACGAAAACGAACATGTCTTTCTCGAGTTATGCAATTAAAAAAACCCAGCTGTTGACCATAGAAGGGCACGATAATCCAGTTTAGTTGGACATTGAATATTTCGAGAAAGACATATTCGTTTTCGTCGAAACTTTCAGGACTATATAATGACTCTTAAATCTATCTATATATAGAATTTCAGCTCATAATTCTTCATTTTGGTTTTTTCCGAAATGCCTGGCTCACAGTAAAAATTTCAATAAAACGGTCAAAACTCTTCACTACTAGACCACGGGCACGAATCCTTTTAGTTTTTTTCTTATCTCAATATACTCTATCGAATGAGGTATCAATGAATCAAAACAGAGCGAGTCACTTGAGAATGTTCGCTCGTAAGTAAGTCTTGACTTAAACGTATAACATTATGTTGAAGTGATAGAAAGAAATAGATCCACAGGACATTTTGCATGTTAGAAAACAAAAGCAATTATAAAATATTAATCATACTTTAAATAGCTGGATGGGAAAATCTATAGAAGTCACAAAAACATAATCATTAGCTGAAAAAAGAACTCGTCATAGATATATAACAAAAGTTCTTGCCATCGAACACATCATTTTTTTCCCTACGATATATCAAAACAAAGAACAGATTTTATTTTCTATTGGGCGCATATATGCTTATTTACGAAAGCGCTTCATTAGCATCAATTGTACTTTTTAACCGAATTTATATTAGTTAAGAAGAAATTAATACAATCTGAATACTCATAGATTTATAATTCATGAACAACATTTGATATAGAAATGATCTTTTTATTTATCTAAAAGGCAGGGGCGTCTATCAAGCAGAAACTCACGACTTATGATAGTCATTTCATTTTTCTTTCTTTGTCAGTCATGCATAGGAGTGGGTACATCTTTTTTAATTGATCATTTAAGTATATAAGTGTATTTAGTTGATAATAGCATTTTTCTCGCCTCTATTATGTTATTTCACGAAAAATAATAGAAAGAAGTTAATTTTTTTCCCTAGAAGAAAAGCCATCTATAAATATACACGGACATGTTTTATATTTGTTGCCATTTTTTAGATAATGGCTTCAAATTTAACACTATGTGTTGACACTTTATTTCGTGACATAAATATTTTCGAATGCTTAATTAGTCGTATAATAGGATCAGTTATAATATTTATATCAATGATTTCAATAACATTTAACATTCGTTTCATTTATTGGTCATCATATCATCGACATCTTCGGTTTCGTCATTATTCATTAGTATTATCAATGATTTTATCATCAATGTCAGTAATCATTGTGATAGTACCATCAGTATTTATCCAATGTTTATCTTGTTATCGATGGTGCTCACCATTTTATTGTCAACTTGAAGGTTTTGTTTCATATTTAAATGGTTGTGTTCATATGTTTATGTTAATGATGATATCAATTATTCGTTATGCTATAGTTTTTGAAACGAATATACAAAATCGATTTATTGATCAAAATTCATATTGGACAGTTATAATTAGTTGGTTATGTGGTCTGATTTTTGCATTACCACCATTATTTAAATGGAATAAATATACACCTGAAGGAATTGGTTTTCATTGTGGATTAGATTGGTTTGATCGATCACTTAGTTCACGTATCTATTTTATTCTAGCTTTTGCATTTATTTATTTTATTCCATTTATTGTATTATTAATTATTAATTTATATGTTTATTGTAAAATTCGATGTTTACTTTATGCCACAGCAAGAATGATAAAAACTGATCTTGGTTTAAATTTTTCTTATGAAAAACATCAATCAACTTCGTGTAGTTCATCATCAAACAGTAGCCCAATAACAAAATGCAAAAACTCTCGTTTTCATACTGAAGCAAATGCAATGAATGTAAGTTCTCGATTAGCTGTTCGTCAAACACGTACCTTTCAAATGAATTGTCTTATGCAATTAAATCGTTTAAAGGCTGATCGACGTTTTGCTTTCGCAACAATATTTTTAGTTAGTGAATATTTACTTAGTTGGACACCATATGCTATTATGGCTTTATTTTATTTATTTAATGTAAAGTATATTAATCAACAATCAGTATTAATGACAATATGTGCATTTACTGCCAAAACTGCAATGATTTTAAATCCACTTATTTATTTAGCAACAATAAAAACTAATATATTCAAATCGATGTTGTGGTGTAGTAAATGTTCGTGTTGTTATTGTCGAATTAAAAGAAAAACCATAGTTAGATAACTCCATACTTTGTTTTATGTGATGAAATAAAAAAAAATTAATGTTTGTAATATGATAAAAACGATATGATAATATCTAATTTATCCTGAATGAAAGAAATGCATAAAACTAGAAAAAATCTAACAGAAACAGTCTTTGTTCAAATGAAAGCTTAGCTTTGAATGAATGGAGGTGAGTGAATACTTAACAGTTCCTGTAAAGAAATGTCTGCATCATTCATACAAAAAAAGATGTCATGTCAACCGATCTAATTAAGGCGCTACTGGCTTATTGCTTTTCACTCGTTTAGTTGCCATGGCAAATTCTTCTTCTTTTTCTCAACATATTAGTCCCAATTCAAGTAGGCCACTCGTTCACTGCAACTAAGCATCGTTTCAAATTGGAAAAAAGTATGTCGAGATCGCAAGAATATAACGAGTGCACATATGAAATCCGATTTTTAACATTTGACTCCGTTTGGGAGCTATACAATTGTGAAAAACAATAATTGACAGCTGATACTTTCCTTCTATGGCCATACATGACTCAATCTTGAAACGACCATTGATATCGCGGATGATGTATGCATATGCACTTTAATTACCGGTTCCCATGATTAAAATTCATCCATGAAAGAGTCTTGAACGTTTAGAAAATCCTTTACACGACTTATATAGATGAGATGTGAAGAAAAATAATGAACAGTTTATAGTTTCCTTATATGGTAATAGCTGTTTCAGATTCATTATCTCTGATTAATCAGCTTAACTAAGACAGTTGAGCGTGATTGAAATTCATTATGATCCTCTACACAAGTCTATGCTTTTGCAATTAGCAGATATGATAAAAGATCGTGTTTTCACATTGTTCGGGCTCGTTCAATCAGCCGCCTTTTTTCTGCTTGACCGAAGCTCGAGTGACAGTCTCGTGTTTGTTTTCTTTGCAAATGTTTTCTGAGTATTTAATTAAAACAAATCTGTTATGTTTCAAACTCACTTTATCAGGAAAAAACACTTGGTGAGATTTTCTCATTATTTTAAGCAATCTGTAAGCACGTTATATTTTAATGGCATGTCATATAAGGTTCTAACAAAAAAACTGTTATTTCTAATTAATGGATTTAGCTTTAAGCAGTTTTATTGTATAGTTCGATATAAGTACATTTTAAAAGTCGATATTGAAATCAATTTCTACTACATATTAATGTCTGTTGCAATAAAGATTTTTCTTATTGATTTTATTTCCTACATAAGAAGAAACTAAGGCAATGGTATAAGTGATAAATAGTTATTTTTTAAGGTCATCTTATTTATAAGTTTTATTCTATTTAGGAGATTCTTCGGAAACGATTCATGAAATCACCATCCAAAAAAGTAAGGGCGGGTTGCCGAAAAATTTTAGTTTTCGAAATAGTGCCTTGCACGGATACAACTTTTTGCACCCGCATTCGACCCGACACCTTTTTTTTTCTACCCGGTACCCGACAGAACCTAGCTCGGAGCTAATCAATATCAAGATAATATTTCAATCGCAGTACAGTGTTCAAACTTTTACTTTATACTAATAAGAATATTGTTTAGTTTCTTCTATAAATAGCAACAAAAAAGAGATATCATCTAAAATTCGATAAAAAAGGCGAGTGAATCAGAATTCATTTAATGGCTTTCAACTTCTGAAATTCGCTCAATTTTGCCAAATAACTGTTCGCTTCAGAGATGGAACCGGTAGTTTTTTTTCCTTACCGGTACTGGTACCGGTCTAAAGGGTCAGACCGAACCGGCCGGTAGACCAGCACAATTGTTTTACCAGCTTGTTATTCAATATATATCAAAGCATCCGATCCATTCATGTTCTTTTTTTCACAATTACTCTAGGATAGGATCAATTATTATGTTTTTATTGCTAAATCACATCTTTTCACTTTATTTCCGTCATTTTTTTCTTTCCATCAACAAAAAAAAACTAAATTTTCAAGTAACACAAACAAAATATAAAACAAGGTAAAATTTTCTCAATCAGCCATATTCGTAATAGACTATGGCTGTTGTTCTTGATCATCGCGATTTACAAGCGCAGCACTAGTATTACATTTAGGCCACATTTTATTTACATATGCTTCACGTAATACAATTAATGATTCCACTGAACTCTCGCTCAAGCGACCCCTTTTCTCATTAACAATAACTCCACCGGCTGAAAAATGCCTTTCTGATTCAGCTGATGAAGCTTGTATAACCAAAATACGTTTAGCAATTATNATTAGTAAGCAACAGAGAACGAAGATGTCAGATTAATAGAAGAACTTATTGATAATATATTCTTTGATAAAGCTGTGGAAAATGTTTTATTATTGGAGAAAAGCTAAGTATATTCTGTTCCTTCTCTCGAAAAATGTTCAAGTCAAAAACTCTCAACACACCCTCATTTGACAAGTATTATCGAATATCCCATTTGTTTGATCCACGTATTATAAGAAAGAAGTTAATAATAAAGGTACTCAGGATGTCAATTGTAGAGGAAGAACAATTATGTCGTACTACATTACTAATCTTCATATTATATTTACAAAAAAAGAATATGTTACATATTTATTATCCAAAACACTCAAACATGACAGGTGTTTCAAAGATTGTTCATTCCTCAAAAAAAAATTTTAACCAACAAAAAAGGGAACTGAGTATACAGAAATATGCAGAATTTTATGCTCTAACTTTCTAATCTATTAAAGATAGAATAAAAGGGTTGAAAAAGTCGTGATCCTATCCGACAATGTCCAAAAAAGATTATTTACTACAGTTTTCAGCACTTTAAAATAAGTGTGCACTTGACAATGCTTCGACGAGAACGAACGTTAGAACAGAATGAATTTTTTTAAAAACTATATAGATTTGTAGAGCGTGAGACAGCGCAGTTTTTGATTATAAAGTCATTTAGTACTAATTCCATTTTTGAGGTCAATAACGTCTCACAAAAATATGAAAAATTGTCTAAAATGCATAAAAACAGTACTTTTCCGCTAATTTGATTCAATGTAAGTCGTATATAACTGAAGAAAAAAAATTACCAAGAAATATGAATAATACACAGTTTTGTAGAGCGTGAAAAACTGCATCGATGTGTGCTATTAGTTTTGACTTTGTGATTACAAATGAAATAAAACTATAGATATTACAATAATCATCCGAAACACTGAAAATCTATGAAAAACTTTTAGACCCCCCAGACAAAGTGGAGCGCAAAATTTTCCTTCTACATTCAATTAAAAAACGAAACAAAATACACAGAAATGCGCAGAATTTCAAGCTCTATCTTTCTAACATCTTGAGAATGAAAACTAAGAGGTGACAGATTTACGATCTTATCCTACGGTGTCCTTTATCTGATAAAATTATTTTACATTAGTGATTTTATCAAATATATCATCTAGATCGATTTAGCTGTCTTATTCTCTCTAAAACAGTTATTCAATTTTTTTTGTCATCTGTGTATACATATAATATAAACAGTGATTAAATTATTTCTTATAAGGGAATGATATCAGATGTCTCGTTTCGATTTGAATGTTGTTTTTTTCTCATAGCTACCGCAAATTATTCTAGTGAAAACAATAAAAGGATTTGAACTTTTTATTGAGACTTAGCGGAGCTATTGAAGTTTTTACATGTCGATTTACTAGAAGAGCATGTGGAACTCCAGATTTTTGAGAAAAATCATGTTTTTTATCTTGACTTAAAACTATCTCCATTTGACAGTCACACATACAATAGGTTGTAGAAAGAATTTCAGAGATTATAAAACTCGTATCTCGGAGACATGAATTTTTCAAAATTTTCTTGTATTATTCACTATGCTTCGAAAGGCATCTTTTTTAGAACAGTTCACAGCGCGGTGATAAGGACTCTTCCAACTCCCAAGTTCTCCATACAAGCCACTGTATGTAAGATGACCAAAGAGAGATAGTTTCAAGATAAAATGTAAAAGCACGGTTATTCCGAAAATCTGGAGATTTATACGAACCTCTGGTAAATAGACATATGAAAAATTCAATAGCTCCACTATGTCTCAACAGGAACTCAAATGCTTTTAAGGTTTTCATTAGAACACTATGTAGTATCTACAGGTCAAAAAAGACATTGAAATCGGTAAAGGATACCTATCGAAGTTCCCTCATTAGTAAAAACAATTCTGTTTTTTTTTTGTCTTTTATACAACTATTTCCGAGCAACAACCAATCATAGTTTCAGTCAACTTTTTCAATTCAATTGCGTGATTGATTGTATGATGTGAACATATTATACATATTTTATTTAACATAACACATAGATAAATCGATATATCATCAGGAATAGTTAATAATTATTGTAAAACACATTGTCTCTAATCAAGTGTTCTTGTGCTATAATTTGTTCTAATATAATAATAGTAAGTAACTGACTAGAGAATCATTCTGATATAAGCATATCAGATCAACTTTTTTCATCAGATGTTATAATAGAGTGAAATAGCTATTTCCAATTGCTCTATTAATAAAAGAAATCGTTTATAATAATCATTCGAGAACAGAGGGTACATCTAACCGTCAAAATAATTACAGTAAGAAAGATATTGAGTCTTTTCATCTTCAACATCTTTCTAAGGAATTTCAGTTTTTTTTTATTTCAAAATAATTGTTACACATGCCGATGAATTGAATCTTTCAATATGATTGAAAAATGATCATTGTGAAAGAGACAATGATCGATAAATATAGGTATTTTGTTAAGTTTTATCCACAAAGTCTTTATTAATGACTTTTTATATGAATGAGAATGAGGGTTTGATGATGTTTCCTAAAACAGAAAAATTGTTCGATTTCCAAGTATGAATATAGAGGCGAATGTATTATGGATGAGGATTTGTGTACGTGTGAAACTATGTAATGGTCTGCAATGAGTCTACATCTACAGCCTCAAGATCCAACGAATGTTCCTACTGAAAAAATGGAGCATTCCAATAAATACATAGCATCATGCAAAATATAC